TTTTCTTATTATTATTTTTTTTTTTTTAGCAAACATATAGAATACGTTTTCATTTCACATTTTTTAATAATTTTTAATATTATAAAAAAACTGAAAACTAAAACACAATTTATGAAGACACCCTAAATCATCCAGGTTTCTCTGTAGTATGACCGCTAAAACCACTATGATTTAATTAGCTACCAGACTAGCTACGTGGACTGAATTAAGTTATCCAAATGAATAAAGGGTCGGGCTATATTACTAGAAGATATTGTTAATTAGAATGATAACTTACCACATGTAAAACAAAATTTGTCACATGAAATGTGAAGTTTTAAATATATGCACTATGTTTATTACAAACTCAACGTCTAAGTTAATTACATAGAGGGAAATCCATAGATCCCACAACGTATAATCAGTATTATTAAACCCATTTTGTTTGAAAAAAAAACCTCTAAACCCCCTCCGATTGCTAGGGTTAATGAATTACATTACGCTACCTAACATATATAGCCTTTCCTCCCACACCTTAGCAGCCCTTCTTTCTTGAACAAGGCCTTAGCCACAACCTTTCTTGAGTTCATAACGGTAACATTACAAGGCCCTAGTCACGGCTTGTGACTCCAACACCACCTCAAATTAAAGAATATAGGAGTAGGACAAGGTGAGGTAAACTTATATAAGACAGTCTTACCATATCATCTAGCTGACGTGGTGAGATTATCTAATGACATAATGGCATGTGTTATCACATATACCCTAAAGTTTCTTTTATCCACCTATTAGCATGATTAATCAATAACTATCTTGTATTATTTATCAATAACCATCACTCTGATAGGTGGTTATGAAAATTAACTCTATGTATCCTTATGTTAACCATCTCACATGAAAATATTGTCCATTTAAGTATTTCTCCTACAACCAATGACAGGTGGAGCCCCCTAAAGACTTATTTGTGGATCCTCATTAAAAATATGTGTGTGTTAGACACACACAAAAAACAATCAATTTATTGACAATCCCTTTCCCTAATTAGTGGCTCCTCATTAAACATACGGGTATGTGTTAAACATATGTATTTGTACTAAAAAGCATCTAATTTACCAAATGTATTTGTATTAAACATGAAAAAAATTTTGATTGAGCAAGAGCATCATGTCATCTGATGTCTAATTATTTATGATCATGATTGTAAAATTTAAAGGAATTCATATATTTTAAACAGATGCACGAATGTGTATATATTATCTACAACTTTTTTCATTAAACATACATAAAACAATTTATTTACCCCCTAAATTTAACTCATTTATATTGATGACAATGGCACAAAAACTTTACAATCAAGAGTACTCTTCACTATTCCTTTATCTTGAAATTTTACTCATATATTTTCTTTTGATCATCTTTGTCTTTAATTTTTCTTTCTCCTTCTTCTGATTGTCAAACTCCATAACTTTTCAACTTTTGTTTATTTTCTAATTTGCAAAATATTAAAAAACTATTTTTCTATTATCTCAATAGCTATTCCCAATCTATAAAGGTTATGTTACTGTCACTAATTGAATAGTTTCTCAGACAAAGGCTGAATTATCTTCTTATTTCTTATTAAAATAAAGAGAAATTTCAGGTTAATTATTCCTTTTAGAGTTTGTCAAAAAATTATATCATTTATACTGGTAATTTCATTATAATTCTTAAATATAACTTAATTTCATCCTATTTTATTTTCGAATCACATTTATCGAAACCCATATTTATTTTTCTTTACAAACAGTGAAATTCTTGAATAGCCACGATAAATTTGAATCCTGTGATTTCCCGAAATGTATTCATTGAGAAGCAATAATTTTAAATATAAATTCCATGATGTATTGTTTTAAAAACTAAAATAAAATAAACTTTTGAATTGAGGTTTCCACGTACACGAAAACTGTAACCCTGACTTGCCACTTGCTCTAGATTACAAAATATCGTACCTATTTTTGTAATATATAAGACTCTCCATAAATTTATTCAAAAGCAAAATCAATGACTTTATACAGATGAAAAAAGAAAAAAGTTCCAAACACTGTCCATGCATTCATGCACTATACATAAATCATATAGCTTCTAGTTCTCTTATGTGTTAAAAGTAACCACATTTCAATCATACGATAAAGAAAAATTTGATGTAGAATTGACACATCATGTGATTTATACATCTGTGCAATAATATATTATTTAACTCATTGGAATCACGATTGATTGGTTTTAAGACGAACAAGATGAACGCATACCTAATTTAAAATTTTGAACAATTTCATTGTCAGCCCTGTGGTTTGTATGTTTTAAAGAAAAATAATTAGATATTAAAAATTTCTCTCGATTCTCTATTCTTTCTCTCTCTACATAGAGAGAAAAAAATCATTGGAGACAACTTCAAGCTTCTAAGATCTCAAAGAAAAAGACATAATAAAGAAAAGGAAAATGTGGTTTCAAGTTTCCATGGTGGAGAGGAGAGAGANTTTATCAATAACCATCACTCTGATAGGTGGTTATGAAAATTAACTCTATGTATCCTTATGTTAACCATCTCACATGAAAATATTGTCCATTTAAGTATTTCTCCTACAACCAATGAGAGGTGGAGCCCCCTAAAGACTTATTTGTGGATCCTCATTAAAAATATGCGTGTGTTAGACACACACAAAAAACAATCAATTTATTGACAATCCCTTTCCCTAATTAGTGGCTCCTCATTAAACATACGGGTATGTGTTAAACATATGTATTTGTACTAAAAAGCATCTAATTTACCAAATGTATTTGTATTAAACATGAAAAAAATTTTGATTGAGCAAGAGCATCATGTCATCTGATGTCTAATTATTTATGATCATGATTGTAAAATTTAAAGGAATTCATATATTTTAAACAGATGCACGAATGTGTATATATTATCTACAACTTTTTTCATTAAACATACATAAAACAATTTATTTACCCCCTAAATTTAACTCATTTATATTGATGACAATGGCACAAAAACTTTACAATCAAGAGTACCCTTCACTATTCCTTTATCTTGAAATTTTACTCATATATTTTCTTTTGATCATCTTTGTCTTTAATTTTTCTTTCTCCTTCTTCTGATTGTCAAACTCCATAACTTTTCAACTTTTGTTTATTTTCTAATTTGCAAAATATTAAAAAACTATTTTTCTATTATCTCAATAGCTATTCCCAATCTATAAAGGTTATGTTACTGTCACTAATTGAATAGTTTCTCAGACAAAGGCTGAATTATCTTCTTATTTCTTATTAAAATAAAGAGAAATTTCAGGTTAATTATTCCTTTTAGAGTTTGTCAAAAAATTATATCATTTATACTGGTAATTTCATTATAATTCTTAAATATAACTTAATTTCATCCTATTTTATTTTCGAATCACATTTATCGAAACCCATATTTATTTTTCTTTACAAACAGTGAAATTCTTGAATAGCCACGATAAATTTGAATCCTGTGATTTCCCGAAATGTATTCATTGAGAAGCAATAATTTTAAATATAAATTCCATGATGTATTGTTTTAAAAACTAAAATAAAATAAACTTTTGAATTGAGGCTTCCACGTACACGAAAACTGTAACCCTGACTTGCCACTTGTTCTAGATTACAAAATATCGTACCTATTTTTGTAATATATAAGACTCTCCATAAATTTATTCAAAAGCAAAATCAATGACTTTATACAGATGAAAAAAGAAAAAAGTTCCAAACACTGTCCATGCATTCATGCACTATACATAAATCATATAGCTTCTAGTTCTCTTATGTGTTAAAAGTAACCACATTTCAATCATACGATAAAGAAAAATTTGATGTAGAATTGACACATCATGTGATTTATACATCTGTGCAATAATATATTATTTAACTCATTGGAATCACGATTGATTGGTTTTAAGACGAACAAGATGAACGCATACCTAATTTAAAATTTTGAACAATTTCATTGTCAGCCCTGTGGTTTGTATGTTTTAAAGAAAAATAATTAGATATTAAAAATTTCTCTCGATTCTCTATTCTTTCTCTCTCTACATAGAGAGAAAAAATCATTGGAGACAACTTCAAGCTTCTAAGATCTCAAAGAAAAAGACATAATAAAGAAAAGGAAAATGTGGTTTCAAGTTTCCATGGTGGAGAGGAGAGAGATTGTGGGGTTCTAAGACTAGTTTTCAGGTAGACAAGGAAAATTATTAGAACCGACTATTCGGGGAAAAAAAGAAAAAAAATATTTATCATTTAAAAAAAATCCGTAATTAATTGATAACTCATACTAAATATCACTCGAACAAAGGAAAAAAAAGAAGTTGAAAATAGGTTTTGACATTAAAAAAGGTCTTTATGAAAGTCTTTTAAGTATACTATACATTTGGTACCAAAAGTGATATGTTTTTGTCACATAATTTTCTATTTGATAACAACGATAAGGATATTTTCAAGGACAAACGAAGAAAAAAAAATTACAATTGTTGGTAAGTTACCATCCCAATTAAAAGTTTAAGTTCGTAAACGAGGATTCAATATTATATTAATCTATTAGTTCTTTTACATGAAATTTTGATCTTGATTTTTTTTATCTATTTGTATTTGAGAATTTGATTAGACTTTTAACTTTGATACTATACGTTAAATTGTTAGTATAAATTCATTAGTATTAGACTATTAGTTTATAGGACCGATATAAATTGTTTAGTTTAAGGAACCGGTTAACTTGATATTGAATGGAGATTCTAAAAAATAAAATAAATGGATATAAATATTATTTGTCATTTTAATATTCTATGTTATATCTCATATTATATATGAATATGATTAACAAGTAACTTTAACGCGCTTTTGACAGAGGATAAGGAACCCACTTTACTAGTATTTTTTGCTTATATAAAAGCAAGAACAAGGGAGCCTCAAAATGCGTTGAAAAAGACATATGTTCACCTTACGTACATGGAAGCGTCGTTTATCTTTGTCTTTACAGTAGTTGCTGAGTGTGAACGCTCCTAAAATCTCCTTTGAAGCCTTAAGATTAAGATTTTGTCTGCGGAACAAAGAGTGAGTGACGATGATGATGCCAACTGGGTTCAGATTCAATCCCACCGATGAAGAGCTTATCGAAATCCTTGAAAGAAAAGTTTCTGGCCAAGAAATGCCTCTCCATGACCATTTCATTGTGGAAAGAAATGTGTATGAGCTCGATCCAAGAGATCTTCAATGTGCGTTTTGACTTCTTTTCTCCTTATTTCCTCAACATTCTCTTAAAAAATGTCACGACTCTTAGGTCATCTAGTTTCTTTGTTTTATTTTGTTGAATTAAATGATTTTTTAACAGTTGAATTAACACTCCCCGATTGTTAACTTCTTTTGATCAATAATAATCCTTTTGATCAGCCAATAATAAGTTAACTCCAACGCCAATTTTTGGCGTTGGGAATCGGCGTAGAATCAATTTCCAGTAGTGTAACTTACATGATTGTTCTTCATCAAGTAGGCTTTTCACAATCTTCGATGTTCACTTAACAAGAGCTAGACTAAAAAACTCATTTTTTTAATTTGTTTGCGATATAATTGATTTAGGCTTACATGAATCTTTTGATTTCAAAAACTTCCCTTTTTTTTGTTTTTTTCCTTCTCTCCAGCGGCTTCTTAAATTAATGAATTTTATGTTGGTGTAGGGGATCACACGATGGTGTTGCTTAACAACGAGAGATATTGCTACTATATGAGGGAGAACGATTCTCGAGAAGTATCAGGTCGAGGATGGTGGAGAGCTACTGGTCATGTTAAGAAAATTTATGCTAATAACAAATATGTAATTGGTTATAAGAGACCTCTTACATTTATCAGGTTTAGCGATAATGAAAGAAAGCGTAAAAATGCTCTCAAGACAAACTGGATTATGCACGAATATAGCCTTGACTCCAACATAACGGTTTGTTTCATGCTTATCTATATTTTCGTTTTTCAGTTCGTTTCATTGTAGCTAACTTCCCATCTTAATCTAATCTCTTTTGCAAGTAAATTTTTCTTGAATTTATAATCAACAAACCAATATGTTTTTTGTTAAATATTTTGCTTGTTCAGGATCAGTTCATTGCATCATACACATGATGTTTTTTTAACAATAATGTATCCTATTTAAGAATAGTTTTTGTTCTTACGAGTTACCATTTTCTTATTTTGATGAATTGGTCATTTTTCTTCTCCATTCTTTCCTAATTTTGTAGATTTCCCAACAATGACGAAATTTGTATTTGTCACCCATATCTTAACTTTTCTTTTGCAATTTCAGGACATGAAATTGTCAAACTTTAAGTCAATGTCCTGCTTTCAGTAAGTCAATAAAAGTTGAAAATTTTAAAAATCTAGTTTATCCTGTTAAACTAAGTAGAGAATTTTCTACTTGTTAATGTGTATCATCAGGAAACATGTTGTCTAGTGAGTGAAAATAAGAGTCTTGGTTAACATATGCCTTTTTTAATACACAATAAAATTAGCCTTATTCTTGCTAATACCTTTTCTATTTTCCATATGAAAATACGATGAGAAGATATAGTTTTAAAAATTTTAACGGTAATACCATTAAGAGTGCGTGTAACATTATTTTAATGACTAGATTAAATAATGGTTAAATTGAGCATTTTAAGTCATAATCAAATTGATAATTTGAAAGGTGGATATAATTTATAGAGACTCCATCAAATCCACTAGCTAGTGTGTGTATAGCTACATAAATTAAATAAGAAAGGCCATATGAATCAGCCATTCCATGTTCATTTAAAGCAATAATTGTTTTTCCTCGGGTTTTTTTATTAAATGATTGTTGTAATGTTATAGTAATGAAATGTAACATAAAATCCCATATTTATATGTACTTCAAGTTATAATATGTTGAAAGTTGACCATGTCTACTGTTAATTTAATATTGGCACCATTATAACAGTTGCGCTGTAGCATGCATGGCCTTTTTTAATTTCTTAATGATTAGATATTTAATTTTGGGTTAAACTTTTAAGACAATATCATTGTACCATAAAATGTTAAATAAGAAAAAGAAAAAGATTAATGTCATAGACATATTGATTTCTTTGCTTTATAGAAATATGAATAATAAGCGATCTTCTTATTTGATATCATTGACAAGGCCACCATGAGCTTGTTTTCCTCATGAATTATATTTACATGCAATATTTAATGTCAAGCTAGTATATGATAGTGGCTATATATGATTGCATATATCAATATCCACATGATAATTTAAATAAAAGTTTTATTGCTATTTATTTATAATTGTATGTTCTTTCACAAACAACATTTTTTTCCCCTTTTTCCTCATCAATAATCTCTTACATCTATATATTATGTATGTCTTTTGAGTGGTTTTTGACTAGGATCATCAATTCCTGACGCATGAATCTAAAATAATTTTCAGGAATGGAGAATTTGTAAGATCAAATATAAGGGAAAACTAAGTATACAAGAAGAGCTAAAGAGTAATGGAAAAGGTTACAAATTAAAGAGCAAGATTGATTTTGGGTGTGATGAAGAACAACAGCAGCAACCAGAACCATTAGAGCTCGACATTTTGTATGAACCTTATAATTCTGAAGTGAGTAGTTCTATGGACATGCAACTTGATTTTGTTGGTGAGCCTTATTTTAGGCAAAATATGCAAATGGAAGTGGCGATTGATGAGCAACAACACCACCCAAATAATACTTCATATGATCCAATCCTCACGCATTTTAATAGTACAAACAATTACTTCGGGGAACAACTTGAGCAACCGGCCGATGATTCCTCAGAGGAACTATTTCATAGTCTTTGGTCTTGGCAGAGTAGTAGCTAGAATGCAAAATGCTTGTTTGATTTTGTTTAGAGTACTCTATGTGTATGATAATTCTGTATGATAATGTTTCTGTTTTGATTGATTTAGCAAAAATTTTTCTTCTTAATTTTTTCCATTTCTATTTTGAGCAACATTGAATCGAATGCGTGAGTTTATGAAAGAAGAAATACTGTTCTAAGAATGAGATTTAAATATTAACTAGACATGAGGTCTGCGCATTACGCGGGTATGTTTATTTAATATTTTTGAAATAGGTTATAAACAAAATTATTCTAACAAAATAAAGTAATTAGATTAAGAGATGATAATTGTTAAATTATACAAGTTTTAGAGTAAATATAACTTCTATATATGTACAGAGTTGTGTTAAGATAAAATTAATAATTTTATCTTTATAATTATTAATATCAATTAATATTATCAAGATCAATTATTTAAACTTAAAACTTATATTGAGTTCATTTTTAGGTTTAACATTGATTGGTAAATTTTTTTCCTCACAGTATAGGATTATCTCTAACCAAGGTATGAAAACAAACTTCTATTTACACAGTTCATTCAAAGGTTTTGTTTGTTTTACAATTGAGAACATGATAACTGATTAATTTATGTGTTAATAATTGTAGAACTACAAAACAAAATATGAAGAGACTAACTTCCATCTTTATACATTTTTATCTAAAATGGTTAGATTTTTGGAATGCTTATATAATGTACTTATATAATTATTATTAATACTCACCCAATGTGTGAAGATGGAAGAATTAAATCAAAACTAACATGTCAAGATGTAGAATTTTTAGTAGATTCATTAAACAGTAAATGCAATGCGTCAATTAAAGGAACAATTTTCAATCAATTAATGAGTAACATCAAAATCAAGATAAAGTTGAATATAGAGAATAATACTTTTATTGTAAAAGAAATAAGTACATTGGTTTTTCATACTGTGAAGTGGGTTTGGATGATGTAGACTTTATTTTTCTCTTTTTCTTATAGTTGTTTAGTTCCTCTAGTGTATATGCATACTCTCTTTTGTTTATGTTATAGATAATTAATATTCATGGCAGATTCCATGATTTCTAACGTTTGGTCAATGACTTCTCTGAATTTATCTCTAGTAGTATGTAGATTATCGAGATTGGTGTCAACTTTTTTGAAAATCTCACTCAATTCCAACATTCCCTAAAAAATGTCTAAACCAATTGCAGAAACAATATACCATCAAATTTTATAAATATATGAAAACGGTAACATGAATGTGTAAATATAATTATGAGATGAACTCTTGACATATCAAAAAAAAAAAAATTTTAATGGTTTTTATATTCCCGCAAATATGTATCATCGTTTTGTTTGACATTTTGTAATTTAGGATACAAAAGATGTGGAACATTTATACCTTCTAGTTGCCTCGGTGGAGAATTATTGTTGTTGAGGTCATTGCTGATATTCGTTGTAGATTCTTTTGGTTGTGATGTTTTGTCAGTCATTTTCGATTTAAGTTGTGGAGAAAAAATGAATAATTAAAGTGTATGGTATCTGAAGAAAGTTAAATGGGTGATTGATGTCAGAGCAATATTTATAGGAGAATAGGATACGAAGAGGTGGAATATGAACAGACAACTGGTAATAAATAAACATGTCGATCGAAAAAGTGTTAATAATTATTTGGATAAAGTAATACGAAATGTTAGTAGACTATTTGTACAATATTAAAGAAAACCGTATAAATATTTTGTGTAGTGTGCAACATATTAGTTAGGTAATTAATGATGGTTTGGAAATATGTTGAGATATTATAATAAATAAACATTGTGATTTACTAATAATAAAATCTTATTGATACATTTTTAAAGAAAGAACAATAAATATTTTGTCAAATATCAAAGTCAGAGACGATATGATGATGTCATAAAATATTTATTAATTTTTTAATTGTGGTTCAACAATATGGTTATGAAACATGCATATAGTTCGGCTTCGATCTTGTTTGATCAATGACGTTACAAATTTTTTTTTAAATCTGTAATAGAAATGATTATTTCTAGTTTTTTTTTTTAATTAAGATTATAATATATTTATATTGATGTTTGTTGTGTTAACTAGAGAGGTTGAAATTGTAAAGTTGCTAAGTGTTTGGACTTCAGCAACATTAGCCAAAAGCGACGTCGTCTTATGTTTAAGATTATTTAAGAGAACAGTTCTTCGTTCTCAACTAAAAACACTGTATATAAAGAGAAAGTCTCTCTTTTACTATAACGATAATTCAAGAAAAAGTGTACTTTCTTCTCTTCAAGTTTCATCCTTTGTTTTTCTCCCAAATTAGGTCCATTCTTGTCACAAATTCTCATGAAATCAGAGCTCATTTGACTCACGTCAATGGCTAAAAATTCTTCATCTTCACAGTTGCTTAACAGCATTGAAGAAATGCTAAAAGATCTAGCTAATCGCACCACCTCTGCTTTAGCTTCAAGCTTGCAAGTTATTAACCCTAAATTGACAAGGAACAATTTCCAAGTCTAGAGTTCCCAAGTCTTGTCAATTGTCGACTCTCACGAGTTAGAGGATCATCTATTAGGTAGAGTTGCTTATCCTCCACCTATTTTGATTAATGAAGCATATCTTGAAGATGAATTAAGCAAAATTAGAGGGGAACTTAAGGATAAAATCTCACCTGTAAGTGAATGATTAAATCCAGCCTACATCCTATGGAAACGCATTGACAAATTTCTGGTGAGTTGGTTGCTTGCGTCCATTTCTGAGAGCATGTTCTGTGTTGTGTCAAAGTGTTGCTCTTCCACTAAAATTAGGTTAGCTCTAGAGAAAGAATTCATAACTGACTCCAAGGCAAGAGCACTTCACCTTAAAACCCTTCTTCAAGTCACTAAAAAAAGCAATTTGAGCATTGGAGATTATGTCAAAAAGATGAAAGAAATCACCGAGAATTTGGCTGCCAGTGGTCTAATGAGGATTTGCTCCAATATGTGTTAGATGTGTTAAATGATGAATTGTTTACAAAGTCAAAGACTAACTAGAGTTAGTTTTTGTAACTGCAGTTTGTTAGGCTTAGTAAACGAATTCTGTATATAAAGGTAACACTTTCACTGTTTTCATTTAAGTGAAAAGATTAATAAAATCTTTCTCTTCTCAACAGTTTTCTTTTCTTTATGGTATTAGAGCTATGGAAAATTTTCCACCTCACTTTCCCAAAGATTCTCGGTAACCAAACACTGCTTTTGTTCCAGAAAAACTTCATACACCTTCTAAACAAGAAGATGAGACCAATGCGCCTCCTCCTCAGTTTGCATCTGGCTTGACTTCCGTTACTGCTGCCGCAACATCTTTGTCTCCAACAACCTTACCACCGATTACTATCAAACTCCATCAGAAGAACTATGTGTATTGGCGTTCGCAAGTACTGTCCGCTGTTCATGCATTTGATCTGGAACATTTCCTCACCGGATCTCGATCTCCACCACCGGAAGTCATAACTTCTGGTACTACGTCCAAGACCTTCACCTGTGTAAATCCTGCTTTTGCTGCCTAGTGTCGTCTTGATCAGTTGATTGTTAAGTGGCTTCTTGCTTCTATTTCTGAAACTATGATGCGGCATGTAGTGAAATGCACGAATGGATCTGAGATCTGGTTCAGTTTAGATAAACTGAATTTAACTCAAGCAAAATCTCAGATTATGCATCAGCGTCACCTTCTTCAAACTACTACAAAAGGCTCAATGTCTGTTCGTGATTATATTCAGAAAATGAAAGATGCTGCTGATATACTTTCGACGTCAGGAACAAAGCTCTCTGATTCTGAACTTATCCTCTATATTCTCAGTGGTCTTGGCCCTGAGTTTGATGCTGTTGTGGTAAATTTAACCTCTCTCACTTCTCGGTGTGAATCCTTTACGTTAGAAGAAGCTCAATTTGAACTTCAAGCCTATGAGAACAGACTTGCTCGTCAAACTTCAGCCTACTCTATTGATCTTTAGAGCTCAAATGTGCCTTCGTCGGCTCTTTATGCAGCAACAAATCAATCTTCCTCTAATGGATTTTTGCACCAGTTTGCTCCTCAAAATCCTATTCAAGCTGTATCTAATAATAATGGGAGAGGTCGAGGTAGAAATGGTTCTGGTCGTGGCAAACCTATTTGCCAACTATGTGGTAAAACTGGACATGTTGTAATGCAATGTTATCATTGGTTTGACATAAGCTTCCAAGGTTCACAACCTGTTCGCCCTCATTTGCCACCACCGTCATTTCAATCATCTTTTCCTGTTGTTCCACGAAATAGTCCTCAGGCCTTTGTTGCTCCCTCAATGGCTACTCCCTTTTCGTCTACATCACTACCAGTGTATCCGACTTACCAACCGCATCAACAATCTTATCAGCACAACTCTTTATAGTATTCCCACGCTTATCAACCAACACCACAGTCTTATCAACCACCCTCTTTATCATGTCACCAAGTGCCTAATACCTCCACTACCTTTCATGCTACAACAGCTACTGTTGCTGATAATTCCTGGTACTTAGACAGTGGTGCCTCGGATCATATTACCTCTGATGTGCAACAACTTTCAGATCATGGCACTTACACAGGATCTGAGAAGTTGGCTGTAGGTAATGGTAATTTACTTGATATTGTTGGTATTGGTTCAGGTTCTTTATCTTGCACTTATTCTGGCTCTATATTAATTTTACGAAGAGTATTGATTGTTCCCAAGATTACTAAGAATCTCATCAGTATTTCTCGTCTTGTTCAAGATAATCCTGTTATGGTTGAATTCTCATCTGATTCTTGTCTTATTAAGCACAAGACAACCTAAGCAATTCTTCTGCAAGGATACCTTAAAGATGGATTGTATTTTCTAGATCTTTCGGAAATCCTGTCTCCTAAAGCTCTCCTCTCAGCTCCACCGTTGTTGACACAGGCTTCTACTTCAACTACTTCGTTGCTTCATCTTGCAATTCATCTTGTCTATCAGCCTTTTTCTC